TTATTATTATTATTATTATTATTATTATTATTATTATTATTATTATTATTATTATTATTATTATTATTATTATTTATCTAATGTGTATTTTATTATTATTATTGTTATTATTTGATTTAGAACCATTAACTTTTGAAAAAGCAGATTGGTTAACAATTCCTACAAATACTTGTTTGGTGATCACTCCTAAATTGAATGTATTATTATTCCCTATAAAAGATCAATACTATAATGTTGAACGATCCAAAAGACAAATTCATATTATTACAACTTCCCCAACTAATGGTCATATTAATGATCATACATCTATTAATGACCATATTAACTGTTACTAATGGCTTCCCCTCTAATAATGGTAATAATTCATTGTTACCTTTATCAAATTCTTGATAGAGTAATTATATTTAATTTAATTAATTTTAATTTAATTTATTTAATTTTAATTTAATTTAATTTATTTAATTTTAATTTAATTTTAATTTAATTTAATTTAAATTATTTATTATTTAGTTAATAATTTATTTAACAATTTTTACCTATTTATAACTAATAAATAAGCATTAAAGAACTTATAATTAAATTGAAAATCGATTCAGTACAAATTATTATTTTTTTTTATTTCTTCCATCTGAATTATAATTTACATAATTTGTATTTATTTATTTATTAGAAATAATATTTTATTTAAAAATAACAATATTAAACAGTATTGTTAATGAAATCAGAGATAATAAATATTCATACTATAGCAAATTTATTATTATTTCATAACTTCAATACACGAATAAACGTGTGACATTTTACACATTTTACATCTATAAATTTTTTTAGCTTCAAAAAAAAAACAATAATAATAAAGAATTGAACAATAAAGCCCATATGAAAATATAAAATTGATTATAATAACATTTCTTTTGAATCAATTCTAGGTTCTTCTAAGTTCTAATACGAAGTAGTTTATTCATTAAACTTTAATAAATTAGGATCTAATACAATTAACATAATAAAATATAATTAATATTAATATAATTACATAAAAATATAATTAATATTAATATAATTACATAAAAATAATATTTTAAAAAAAAATAAAAATACCTGCACATTTTCCAGCTTTAATACTTTTTAGTGAATCTTGTAATCCATAAAGAGTATAAATATTTCTACTATAATAACAGGTTTGTGGATGTATAATTTCTTTTTCATCATTAATTGTCTTAAATTTTCCCAAAGCGTTATCATCTTTTATATAACCTTCAAATAAATAATATATATTTTTAAATATATCACTTAATTCTTTAGTTGTTGGTCGATCTGATGGATTGGCATTCCAACATCGATATATTAAATCGGAATAAAATTTTGGCATTAAATCTTGCATATTTGGAATTTGGGGTCGAACTCCATTAAAACATATATCACTTATCAAATTGCTATCATGTGCTCGTTCGTAAAATGGTCGTTTCCTTATGGTTATTTCATACATAATCCCACCAAAACTATAAATATCTCCTTCTTTGGTAAATGTATTTCCTTGTAATACTTCAGGTGGAATATATGGAATTGATCCAAAAATATTAATATTTTTGTTACCATCTGGTGATTTTTTTATTAAATTTTTAGCCAAACCATTTAATCCAAAATCCGCTATCCTTGCTGAAATTGATTCACAATTTTCCATTAAAATATTTCCACTATGTAAATTACCATGAACTAAATTTTTTCGATGTAAATTATCAAGACCATCTATTATTTGACGTAATAATCCTATTCTTGAATCCCACCTTAAAGGTTTTTTTACTAAAAATTTATGTAAATCATCTTCATATAATAACATAAAAATTATATAATTTTGTGTAGATGGATTTTTTGAAATTCCATAAAATACTGTATTGTAATAATAATCATTACCAATCATTAGATTCTTTATCTTAAATAAAATACATAAATAAATAAATAGATATATATATAAAAATAAATAAATAAAAAATTATAATTAATTAATTTTAATTAAATTAATTATTATTATAATTCTTAAAAAAAAAAATAATAATAATAGGAAAAATACCTCTTGAAGAAATTCAGATATATCATATCTAGAATCTTTTAATTCTTTTAAAGCAATAGGACTATTTACATAAGCATAATACCATTGCTTTTTGTCATAATTCCAATACGTTTTAATTCCATTTTTTAATATAGCCGAATAAACTGTACTATATCCTCCGTCAGCTAAATATTTAATATCATGAAAATTTTCATATGGTATCCATTGTAACTTAAAACCAACTTTTATTTGAAATTCTTGGATAACCTTATCAAGGTTGACATTTCCACTCGACCAATTTTTAAGTTCTTGAATAAACTGTTCTTTGGTACATAAATTACAATTTCCATTATAAAAGCTAATGTAATTCAATTCATTATTATAAGTTACATTGGAAGAATGACCCGTTGGGCAATGTGTTGATCTTCTTCTTTGTTGTTGTTGTTGATACATGGAAGTAAACATGAGAAGACAAATAAAAACGTTGTAAAAACCATTCATTCATGTGATCGTGTAATACAATTATAAAAATGAAATATGTGGTACAAAGATCAAAAAATCCTTTAAAATTTTGGGAATGAAAAAATTTAACTACATTAATAACTATACAAAGAATAATTCGTTGTTATTAATTAATTCTTTTTTATATAAGAATTCAAAGCGTGAATTTTACAAATGGCAAAGAGTATCATTATTTTTAAATATACGTTATTTAACAACCATAACAAATAACTTACCTAAAATTTTAGAGTGCATAAATAAAAATATCGACTTATTATCTCGTGCAAAAGATTGGAAATCTTTAAGGAATACTTGTGAAGATGTTCAAAAAGAGGCACAGGTAAATTTTCTAATGTCTCATTTTCTTTTATAATGCATTTATTAAATTTATTTTATTTTTTTTATATATATATATTTTGAATATATTTTTTAAAGGTTCTATTATTATTATTAAATTTTGATAATAAAAGTCAGAAGATTTGTGGAATGATTCATCAATGGCTTCTAAATTTCAAAAGCATTCTGGTAGACTTTTAAAAAAGATTGAAATGTTTGACAAGTTGACTAAAAAAGTGAATGAAATTAATGAATTATCTAGTAAGTTTATAATCAATCTTATTTATGATGATTATATATTAAATGTTATTAATTTTAATTTTGTAAATTTATTATTAATTTTATAAATTTTATAAATTTTATTATTTTTTATTATTATTTTATTAATTCTATTAATTTTATTATTTTTTTTATTAATTTTATAAATTTTTATTATTATTTTATTAATTTTATTAATTTCGAAGTTTTAGCACAAGAAGAAAATGATCAAGATTTCTTGAATATGGTCATAAAAGATGCAAGTTCTTTAAATCATGAAATTGAAAAATTTACATTAACTTCATTAATGTATTTAAATTTTACTTTACCTTATAATATAATTATTTTATTTTATTTAATTGTCTAGAATTAAACAAATTTTGAACTTTTCTATTTATTAAGGAATGAAGATGTAGATTTAAATGGATGCATTATTCAAGTTACTCCTGGTGCTGGTGGAATTGACAGCAATGATTGGGCTGAAAAGTTATATAGAATGTATGAAAAATGGGGTATCAAGAATAATTTTCAAGGTTTGAATACATAAATAATTAATTTATATTATCTATATTATCGGAATTCCTATAATGTTTATTGATATTTATATTATTTTTTTTTATTTTTGATCAATCTCAAAGTTGAAGAATTAGATTATATTAGTAATGAAGAAGCAGGATGTAAATTAGCTTCATTAAGAATTAAAGGCGATTATGCTTATGGTTGGTTAAAATATGAATCTGGAATTCATCGTTTAGTCAGGATTTCTCCTTTTGATGCACAGGTAATTAATGAAATAAATTATTGAATTTATTAATAAAATATATTGAATAAAAAATTATATGATATTTTAATAATAAAATATATTGAATAATATAATTATATGATATTTAATAATATAATATATTTATAATTAATTATGTATAGAATAGAAGACATACATCATTTGCTTCTGTGATGATTCTTCCATCCGTTGAAGAAAATGACTTGATCACTCGTGAAGCAGTAAATATTCAAAATATTGATCTCAAGATTGAAACTTTTCGTTCAAGTGGTCCCGGAGGCCAACATGTAATTATTATAAAAAATTTATAAAAATTTATAAACTTTATGATCTTTGATTTCGATCTAAAATTTTAAATTTAGAGACTGATTTTTTTGAAATATGATATATATTTCTATATATTCCATAGGTTAATGTAACATCAAGTGCTGTTAGAATTACACATATACCTACAAAAATTGTAGTTCAGGTATTTTAATGTATAATATTGTATTAACTAAGTTTGAAATTTAAGTTATTATATAAATAATAACAATTAAACATTCTTAATCAAGTGCCAAAATGGAAGATCACAACATACAAACAAGTCAACTGCAATGGAAATGCTTAGAAGTAGGCTTTATGATAAAGCTTTGAAAGAAAAGTATGTTGTTAATTATGACTTTAAACTTAAAGAATATGAATTTACTAAAAAAAAATATATAAATATATTAATAAACATTGTATATAACCAATTTTAGAAATAATGCAAAGAAAGAAATGCACTCAAAATTACCCGAAAATGCTTGGGGATCGCAGATTAGATCTTATGTTTTATATCCTTATCAAGTACTGTATTATAATCATTATTTTAAGTTATTTTTTGATTTATTTATTTATTCTATAAATAAATTTTTATTTATCTTCTTCTTTATTAGTTGATCAAAGATTCAAGGACAGGTTATGAAACTTCTCAAACTGAATCTGTATTGAGTGAAGGTGAATTAGATGGGTTGGTATCTATTATTATATTATTTATTTATTCTGAAATGATATTTCTAATTTAATTATTTTAAAAATATTAATTATATTATATTATTAAATAATATTTATTAAATTTAGATTTTTAGAAGCTTCATTAACATATTTTGGAAGAAATTAAAAAATCAGTGTAAATGATCAAAGATACTTTCTAATAACATAGAATGAGTGAATATATATAATAACTAGTTCTTTTTATTTGATAAAAATGTACTCCAGAATATTTCAGAATATTTCCATGATATATAACATATACATATATCATTTTAATTATTATTTAAATATCATAACAATCATAAAATATGAAAATAAATAAATATATTATATTGTTAACTTTTATAAAATTGTTATAAAATTATTTATAAATTATTTACCCTTGTTATATAATAAATTTTATTAAGTACTTGGCGGATAATTTTTTTTTTACTATATCAGTCAGTTAAAATTTATATTTAATTATAAATAAAATTAGTAGTAATAATGTAGTCTGATAAGTTTTTTATTTTATTTTTATTAATTTTAGAATATTAATAAAAACCTAATTCAAGACTTGATTTAATACTGTTGATTTATTTTTTTATTTATTAATTATATTAGAATTCATCTGTTTAAATCTAATTGTTCTTAAAAATATTTGATTTTTTAGAATGTTAAACATAATATCACCTATATGTTCTTAATCATAAATATAATCGGAAAGCAGAGAAAAGGATTACTATTCTATTTCTTACACTCCTTTGTTTACTAATAAAATATTCAGTGAATTATGCAATTAATATTTTTTTTTTTATGTTTCATTTTCTTCAACTAAAAAATAACTGTATGTATATTCTTTCAAATAGTCATTATAAAAAAAAACTTTTTATCTCTATCATATCACCACACGATTAGTATCAATTTCGACCAAAAGTTCTGAAAAATTTAATATTATTTCAGATAAAAATGATAAAAAATAAATTATCAATTTTTTATCAGGGATTAAAAACAATACCTGTCTTGAATCAAGATATATTGTTAACATTAATGTGAGCGATATCATTATTCTCCTTTGGATATGCATTTATGAATAAATTTACATAACTTTACATCTCTTAAATACTTTTATGAAATGAAAACGTTTATTAAATAAGTACATAAAACACCTTTTTATTTTAATATATATATATCTCTATATAAACTTATTTAAAATAAGATAATAAATGCCAAACATATTTCGAACCAAAAATCAATTTCATTTTCTTTAAGGATTTTAATGGATCGAGGATCATTATTCAAAGCAGCTAATTTAAAATATTTTGTTCCTAATTCGATATCCTTTATACCTAATATCTTTCCATTAAACCACATATCACCTAAATTATATTGGGCTGCGATATTACCACCATTTGCTGCCTTTGTAAGGTATGGAACAAAAACTTTGGGATCAAATTCAATTCCTGGTGTGTTAAATAAAGAAAATGCATAATGTAGTTGAGCATCTGCAATTCCATCATCAGCTGCTTCTTTGAAAAGTAGGTTTGCTTTAACAAGATCTTTTTTCCCTAATAGTCCTTCCGATAAATAATATCCCATCCAATATTTAGCCACTGTACTATTAATTTTAACATTTTCCTCGAAACATGACCATGCTTTTTTATAATCTTTATTCTTATGAGCTTCAATACCTTCTTCAAGAGGTACTATTGTAGGTAAAGTAAAGTTTTGGAATGAATCTGGAAGTTCTGTTGTTGATGTTCTGATAGATATTGATTCTATCACTTGAGATCCATATAATGATCCAAGAGGATTTAATGTTGGTGAAGTGTCCATTGGATAATTCGCGGCCAATTTTTGAAGTTTTAAGAAAATTTGCATTAGAGATGCTCGAATATCAATATCCTGTTGCCAAGCTTTAATATAGAATAAATAAAAAAATATAAATAATAAATAATTTAATCAAATACAATATAAAGCATAATAAACATAATAACGACAATATAAAGCTATGCATAATAAGATAATATACTTAATAAGCACAATAAATTAAATATATTACCAGCAATTATAATCTTAAAAAACTTATTTTGAATCGTTCGAGTTTCTTGTGAAGTGAAATTCATAGTAATCTTTTCTCGACCACCTTTTAAAACGTGATCTTTAATTTGGTTCATGTCTAAATCTGCATATGGAATTTTTTGAAATAATAATTCCCAAAGCAGCATTCCAAAACTTTTTGTTAAAAATGAAAATAAAATAATTGAGAAAGAAAGGACAAGTAAAATAAAGAACAAATGAAAACACAAAAAAATATAAATATTTACCTAAATATTTCACATTTGAAAGTATATCTCACTTTTTTGGGATCTGGCATCTTTTCAGGAGCCATCCAACGTAAAATATTTGTTATCTCTTTTATATCAGTAGTTGCCTGGCTGTTATGGCGAGCATATTTAAAATTTGATAATTTTGGTACAAGTTGCTTAGTCATCTAAACAATGGTAAAAATAACTTATTATATTTATAAAAAATAATAAAAAGATAATAAAATAATAAAAAATAATAAAAAATAATAAATAAAAAAAATAATAATAAAAAATAATAAAAAATAATAATAATAAAAGAATAATTTTGTTTACATATTTAACTTACCATGATATTTGCGCATCTAATATCGTGATGAAGAATTTCACATGTTTGTAAAAAAACTAGACCACGACATATATCAAGAGCCATTTGAACCTTTGAACGCCAACCAATATCATATTTCGAATAAACTTCTTGAAGTGAACCAAAATCTGCCCATTCAAAAACCATAACATTTTGGTCTTCAACTTTTGAAAGACCATAGAATTTAAGAATATTTTTTGATTCTTTTAGTTTCCCTAATATGGCAAGATGTGCTTTAATTTTTTGACCTTCAGCATCAATAATTTTAGTTTTGCATGCGACATCTTCTCCATTACTTAACATTTTTCTTATAACAGTGTTTCCACGTCGATCGTCGGGCCTCCCAACATAGGGATTTTTTAACTCTTTTGGATCTATCTCATTTGCCGTTATTGGAGTAGTATTAGGTTTGGGACTTGTCAATTGATTTTTGATAATCCTAATTTCTGTAAGAACTGTATTAACTTGTTGTTTCGAATCAATAACATTCTCACCGATAGTACTCATAAACTAGATAGAAAAAATAACTATAAGCTTTATAAACTTTTTTTTATTTTAATTCATTTATAATATAATTTACCTTTGCCATTTCTTCGAGATCTGAACCAAGACTTTCTTGATCAATTCTTCTTTGATCATCATTACGTAAAGTCGTTGTAAAATGTAATTCACTCATAGCGGATTCAAAATCACTAGTAAGTGATTCAAACTTTTCTTTGACTGAATTGGCGTGGAAATATTTTTGAAATCCGGAAAGTGTAGATACATTGCCTATAAACTGTTTTATGTTTTTCATGACTTCAATAAACTTATGGAAAGCAAGATAATATCCTTCATCCCGAAAATTTTTTTCATTTTCATTTTTTCTTCTTTCTAAATTTTTAATTGAAAATTCAGCTATATTTACACGATCCATAAGGGAATTGCAGATTTTTTTATTATATTTAGCATTTGCATAGATAGTGTTTATTTCTACAATAATAATGGTTACAGTAGAAAATAAAGGTAGATAAGGTTGAACAGCGTCTCCAACAACCCCAAGCACCCCTAAAGCATTTTTTGCTGATTCTGAGTTTGAAATATTAGAATCTTTTTCGTCTTGCGAAATATTATGTTTCTCTTTATCTTTATTTGAAGGCATTTTTGAAAAAAAAAGTGAATTAGAAATGGGTTTTTATACATAAAGTACAAGAATATCCAAATTTCTTTGTTTGTTAGCTAGTACAACATCATAATGGCTATAATGGAAATAATAAACAGCATTACAAATAAGTTTAGTGCCTTATTTCAATTAGCATATATTTAAGTAAATAATTAGACAAAAAATAACGGCAGTCAGTAAAAGATTGTTCACCACATTCCTAATATAGTAGGAATAAAAATATTTTTTCTTTTCCATCTTACAAAATTTGGATATGCTATTATGCTATTTCTAGATTATCGGAAAGTTCATAAACACAAAATTCCGAAAAAGTTAATTAATACTGAACAAAGCTAATTGCGAATAAACTGTGTATCTTTAAGTAAAATAATCTTTAATTTCACTATTTCGGTTTTTCACGAGACTGACTAAATAAGAAACAATGAAAGAAAGATATTCTATTCTTTTTATTATAATAAATTTCTTTCTACTAATTTTTGAGAGTTATATTATTGATACCAATCTAAATTAAAATTACTCATTATTCTAAAGAAATGCTTTTCTCCCATAGCAAAAAAGATTTTTTTAAAAAAAGTGCCATAGAAATCGACATATTTCTTCATTATATTAAATTTAAAAATATTAAGTGTAGACAAATTTTGTTAATCAATAATTAATATATTTTTTTAATTACAAAATCTATATGAGTTAATCACCACGATAATGTTACTAAGTCTTTCGGAGTCAGTATAGATAAATTAAAATTGTAATTTATTCAATATTTATTATTTATTTCTAAATATTATCCAGAGAAATATTATCTAGTGCTGAGATACACTAACTTTGAAAAACTTGATTTGAAAATTAAAATTAGTATTTCTAAAGATATCACAAGAGGTCCATACTATTACTATATATTCATTAAAAAATATTGTTCACAGAAATTTGGTAGGTATATGTATTGTTTCGTGAAGGAAATTAGTGATAACAAATTTAGGTTCATTATATGTCCGAATGATAACCCAATATGTGACTTACAAGTGTTTTTCACACCTATCAGGTGCCCCAATAGGTGTCACATAAATACCATCACATCTGTTCTGTCACTTGAAAGACGTGTTGTGCGAATATCAATTTTATTAAATATTTTTTTACATGTGGAAAGCTGATCACCCGCCAAATTATGATCCAATCAAATTTAAAAATATAATCTCTAAGTTATTAATTAAAGTTGCTTAAAATCGATTTCTGCATATGTTTGTAAAGTTTTAATATATCGTTATAAGCTAGCTAAGAGTTGAGACACGCGAACGTGGACATGGGGACAGAATGCAAAAACATATTAGGGAAATAAGACATCAGATATATATAGTTTAGGTGTTCTTTTTGGGAATTATCAAGTCTATTTTATAGCATTCCAGATAATGCAATAAAATAATACGGTGGTTATATTTGTTTGTATATTTGTTCATATGTATTTTATGTGTGTATTTGTTTTCAAAAGAATTATCATTATTCATCATTAATTTTTAAAAGACAAAATTTGCTATATTTAATATAGTTTAAGATCATAAATTCAACACTATATTTGTATATTTTAAGAAAGAACGTTTTATAGTTTCGATATATACAATATATTATACAAAAAAAAAAAATAGAGCAAATAATATTTTACAACTCTTTTTTCGTTGCATTTAAAAAAAACATTTGTTTTATAAAAAAGTATACCACATTTTCCATCTTATCTAAATAATAGATACATAAATATAATCGAAGATAGATTGCATTTAAATAAAATATAAATAAATAAATAATAAATAAATATAATTCTAGATTAAAAATCAATTTTATTTTCTTTAAGGATCTTAATGGATCCAGGATCATTATTCAAAGCAGCTAATTTTAAATATTTTGTTCCTGATTCGATATCCTTTATACCTAATATCTTTCCATTAAAATATATATCACCTAAATTATATTGGGCTGCAACATTACCACCATTTGCTGCCTTTGTAAGGTATGAAACAAAAATTTGGCGATCAAATTTAATTCCTGGTGTGTTAAATAAAGAAAATGCATAATGTAGTTGAGCATCTGCAACTCCATCATCAGCTGCTTCTTTGAAAAGTAGGTTTGCTTTAACAAGATCTTTTTTCCCTAAAAGTCCTTTTGATAAATAATATCCCATCCAATATTTAGCCACTATATTATTAAATTTAACATTTTCCTCGAAACATGACCATGCTTTTTTATAATCTTTATTCTTATGAGCTTCAATACCTTCTTCAAGAGGTACTATTGTAGGTAAAGTAAAGTTTTGGAATGAATCTGGAAGTTCTGTTGTTGATGTTCTGATAGATATTGATTCTATCACTTGAGATCCATATAATGATCCAAGAGGATTTAATGTTGGTGAAGTGTCCATTGGATAATTCGCGGCCAATTTTTGAAGTTTTAAGAAAATTTGCATTAGAGATGCTCGAATATCAATATCCTGTTGCCAAGCTTTAATATAGAATAAATAAAAAAATATAAATAATAAATAATTTAATCAAATACAATATAAAGCATAATAAACATAATAATGACAATATAAGCTATGCATAATAAGATAATACATAATAAACTCAATAAACTGAATATATTACCAGCAATTATAATCTTAAAAAACTTATTTTGAATTGTTTGAGTTTCTTGTGAAGAGAAATGCATTGTAATATTTTCTCGACCACCTCTTAAAACGTGATCTTTGATTTCGTTCATGTCTTTATCTTCGTATGGAATTTTTTGAAATAATAATTCCCAGAGCAACATTCCAAAACTTTTTGTTGAAAAAATGAAAGATAAAATAATTGAGAAAGTAAAATAAAGAAACAAATGAAAACATAAGAATATAAATATTTACCTAAATATTTCACATTTAAAAGTATATCTCACTTTTTTAGGATCTAGCATCTTTTCAGGAGCCATCCAACGTAAAATGTTTGTTATCTCTTTTATATCGGTAGTTGCCTGGCTGTTATGGCGAGCATATTTAAAATTTGATAATTTTGGTACAAGTTGTTTAGTCATCTAAACGATGGTAAAAATAAACTTATTATATTTATAATAACAAAATAATAATTATTGTTTATACATATTTTAACTTACCATGATATTTGCGCATCTAAAATCGTGATGAATAATATCACATGTTTGTAAAAAAACTAGACCACGACATATATCAAGAGCCATTTGAACTTTTGAACGCCAACTAATATCATATTTCTTATATACTTCTTGAAGTGAGCCAAAATCTGCCCATTCAAAAACCATAACATTTTGGTTTCCAACTTTTGAAAGACCATAGAATTTAAGAATATTTTTAGTTTCCCTAATATGGAAAGATGTGCTTTATTCAGCATCAATAATCTTACATGCGACATACTCGTTATTTAACATTTTTCTTATAACAGTCCGAACTTGGGGATCTTTTAAATCCTTTGGATCTATCTCATTTGCTGTTATTGGAATAGTATTAGGTTTGTGACTCTTCAATTGATTTTTGATAATCCCAAATTTGTAAGAACCGTATTAACTTGCTGTCTGATATCAACATCATTCCCACCGATAGTATTCAAAAACTAGATAAAAAAAAATAACTATAAGCTTCATAAACTTTTTATTTTAATTCATTTATAATATAATTTACCTTTGCCATTTCTTCGAGATCCGAAATAAGATTTTCTTGATCAATTCTTCTTTGTTCATCATTACATAAAGTCGCCGTTGTAAAATGTAAATCATTCATAACGGATTCAAAATCACTGGTAAGCGATTCAAACTTTTCTTTGACTGAATTGGCGTGAAAATATTTTTGAAATCCAGAAAGTGTAGATACATTGCCTATAAACTGTTTTATGTTTTTCATGACTTCAATAAAACGATGGAAAGCAAGATAATATCCTTCATCTCGAAAATTTTTTTCATTTTCATTTTTTCTTCTTTCTAAATTTTTAATTGAAAATTCAGCCACATTTACACGATCCATAAGAGAATTGCAACTTTTTTTATTATATTTTGCATTTGCATAGATATTATTTATTACTATAATAATAATGGTTATAGTAGAAAACAAAGGTAGATAAGGTTGAACAGCGTCTCAATCAATTTCAAGAACACCTAAAGTACTTTTTTCTGATCCTGAGTTTGAAATACTAGCATCTTTATGAACAGCATTGTCTTAGGTGTCTCATCAATAAAAAAAAACCTTCGCTTTTCCCTTTTGACAAGTTTAATGATGTTTGATCACTTAATGCATTTGATACAGTGTCTTTACTGGACTTTTCTGTAGCTGTAGAAATGTTTCCACCTCTTGTTAATTGAATATTTTTACTAGAAATGTTATAAACATTTCTATTTGAATATTTTCAAGAGAATAACAAATCTTTTTTATAAAAATCTCAGATTTGGATCATCCTTCCATGCATTTGGATAAACGTTGATATAATCTATTGGTGTTCCTCTAATATGTTCTACACTTTTACCCAAAATAACAATTTGAAATGTCTGCATACGTTGTAAATTATAAAATGGAGGTCTTCCACTTGATAATTCCCAAAAAAGAACCCCTAGACTGTATATATCTGATGTCTTATTTCTCTTATATGTTTTTTGTATAACGTAAATATTCAGGATCGGTATATGTTATCATTCCACCTTCAAGGGAATCTGAATTTGCATCTAATTGTTGAGATAATCCTAAATCTGTAATCAATAATTTTCCTTCGTGAACCAAAATATTCTTTGAATGCTTTTAAAAGTAAATTTAGATATAGAATTTATATAATTCATAATTTATAATTTATCATATCATATATATATATATATATATATATATATATCCTACACTTATCAAATCTAAGTGAGCAATATTTTTTTTGATGAATATATGATAAACCCCTTGCAATATCTTTAGCCATATTAATTTTTGCATTCCAATCGAGTTTTTTTAAATTTATTTTGTAGATAAGTCCGCAAATTGCCATCTTCAGCATATTGTAATACTAGATAATTTTTTCCTGTTGAAGTATCTAAGTAATATTTTGTTGAAAAATAATTACTTTCGAATAAAGAAAATGAATTCAACATGTAATTTCTAAATAATTATTTATTTTACCTATGCTGACTCCGTAAAAATTAATAATGTTATCGTGGTGGTTGACTGCATTGATATTTCGTAACTAATAGTTTCAAAAAAAAAAATATTTAAAAAATATAATCAATAAAAACAATTGGTTACTTGCCTCATTCATAAATTGGTTATAAAATTCGTCATCATCAAATTTATATAACATTTTAATGCGACATATTTACCTAGAGGATTTAAATAAGCCTTCTTTACTTCGCCGAATGCCCCCTTTCCAACTTCTATAACGCTTGCTTTCAAATGTATTATAATCGAATGAATTAATAAACGATTTTCTATGGCACTTTTAAACAAATCTTTCTCATTATGAGAAGACATTTCTTAATGATAATTTGAAAAATTACTCAACCAAATAATAGCCATAATTGTTATTTGCGTTACTAAAGGAAAGATTACGCAAATACTTAAAGTTTGTTTTTATTGACGGTATCGTGATTAGTTCACTCGAATAAGAATTTAAGATTCAGGTCAGGTGATCAAAGTGATTAGCGGGAATAATCTTTTATATTGTAATAAAAAAATAATTTTTAAGTACAATTGAATTTTTATCGTTATAAAAAAAATTCATTAAGTCGTGATCCGTGAAAGAACGGCACTACTGTTTATATTTTAAATATGTAAGTTCAAATCTATAGCTGCTATGTACAAAGAAAAATATTTTTTCACCAAGTTGATTGGTCAAATCATTAAATCTGTGGATACTATTTACTTTATTCTCATTAACTTTAATTACATATTTTTATAAAAAATACCTTCTATATATCTACAAAGTTCATCTTAATATAAATAATTGTGTGACATGCTGATCAAAATCTAGACTTTCCTACGCCTATAAAAACCAATATTTATACAACCTTCAATGAAATTGCTAAATAAAATAAAGAAATAGAATCTTTAAACACTTGATGAACATTTATTTTTTCATAGGAAAGTTAAAGTTTTCGGTTAAATGTTAATAGTTTAAATTTTAAAGTTACTTGTTTTTTCTCTTTGTTTTGATACATATTAATTATTCTATTAATAAATTTTCATTTTTTTATAATAATTAAATAAAAAATTGTAAAATCAAAAGAAAAATTCTGAGCATTGCAAAAGTCTATTATTCCGTTTCGCGTTTATTATTATTATTGAATGTTAAGGAAAACTTATCAAAATTTTAGAATTTACAACTAATTTAAAAATTGAAGATTTTTCTTTTATTAGCATAATAAGAAACTGCATTTGAATTTACTGTATATTCAATTCCAATAGTGGTACGATTTTTTTTTCAAAAATTTGAATTCTTCTGGAAATTTCATTATTGAAACGTTTACGCCGCGCCGTTAGAAAATGATTTCAATTGATTCATTAATTATGTTATTTAAATTAGTATGAATAAAGTCTAATATAAATTAAGTTTTAAAGTGCAAACTAGTTTAATCTGAATTTACTGCTTGAATCCTTGGTATGCATTTATGAAATGTACAACCATTTGCATAACTTTACTTCTCTTTAGGATCCCTAATTTACCTTGTAATGATTTTTGCATAATTTAATTAAGAAAAACATTTATTTATAAAAAAGTATACAAAATACCTTATTTTACATTTTTATTTTTAATAATAAATAAAAAGATAATAAAAAATCAAGTAATAATCCATTATCTTTAGCTCAGGGTGAACAACATAGCATTTTACGTGAAACGTGATCATGCTTTTTGATGATCTTTATTCTTATATCTTTTTCAAGAGGTACTATTGTAAGTAAAGTAAAGTTTTAAAACAAACTGGAAGTTCCATTACTAGATATTGGTTCCATCAATCTAAATTTAACTCTTCAATAGGATTAAAGGTTGGTGACTTGTCCATAAAGAAGCTCAAGTGGTCAAGAAAATACAGAATAAATGATATAAAAAAAATTATCAAATAAAATATAAAGCATAAACTTAATAATATGAAGTAACAGCAATTACACTCTTAAAAAGCTTATTTTGAATTAGTCGATTTTCTTTTGAAGAGCTTTTCTCGACCACCCTTTAAAATATTTGTCATAATATGGATTTTTTTTTTTAATAATAATCCCAAAGAAAGCATTCCAAAACTTTAAAAATAAAGAAAGATGCTTATAAAAAAACTAGATCACGACATACAGTATATCAAGAGCCATTTGAACTTTTGAACGCTGTTATGAAACTTTTTTTTTTCCTAACTGTTACATTTATTTTTATATTTAAATTTTTTAATATTTTAAACTGAGGAAATGCTCAAGTGAATTCTAGATATGATATGTTAAATAACGTCAAGTACAGTAACAGTATAAAGGCTCCGAAAACTATCAATATTGGTATGTAATTATTTATAGGGAAGCTGCTGCTAGATATATACTCTGAGTATTACTATCATATTATTTAAATATTTATATTAAATATTTATAGAATAGTACAAAAAGAAATGAAATGAATGTTTAAAAAAATTCAAAAGATTCAAAAGAGATAACTAATATCTAATTTAATTTATGATTTTTATTATATTATACCAAAATAATTTATTTTTTAGAAATGTTATGTTCTGGTAAACTTGATTACTCAATTCTATATATTAGGTTTAATAAAATTTTGCGTAATGGAATAAATAATCATGTCAACTGACAAATTAATTTTTTTTTTTTTTTTTTTGTAGATTCCGATAGAATTTTATATTTGAATATACTGAAGGATTCCGCTTAGTAATTATTAAATATATCATGACTATAATTTATTTCTTTTATTATTATAAATTTGAATAGAAAAGTTACCTTTTCTCTTATCAAGACAAGATTAGCTATACTCTTTACTTTTTGTCCTTAAATTATTTAATTTGTTCCGAGAAATTTTATTTACAGAGAAATAATATTATAAATTAGCATAATTTTAGCATTTACAAAACTCTTGTCATGTTTAATATCATATAATAATAAAAATGACAGAAACAGTACAGTTTAACCTCGAGCAAAATGAAGGATTTGGGAAGAAGGGCACGAAGGTACATTAAACACAATTAGCACAATTCTAATTCAAAGTGTTGAGTTAATAATAATTAATAAATAAATATGTATATATGTGTTTGTGTATAGAAAGAAATAAAAGATATTATAAAAAACGATCAAATTTGAATACGCATTGAAAAAAAGACCAACTCAAGTTTAAATTCTTTTACGTAATCAATATATTTCAAAAAATATTTAATTGCTAATTTATTTTTATTATTAATTATTTTGTAAAGGTATAAAAGGAAAAGTTAAGATATCCGATTTATGCCATTACAAGAAGAATTCATTACATTTATTATCGTTCCATAAAAATTTAGTGGTGATCTTTCTTACGGCATCAGTATATAAATTTACCATCATCGGGAGCGGGAAAATTATTGAGTAAAATATTTGGGAGGTAAATATTGAAATATTGAGAGATGTAATAATAATTATACTTCTATTCGTGATGATATAATTTAATGAAAATAATTTGATCATTAATAATCGTGATTTTAAAAATAAATTTATAGATCATTCAGATAAGCCAACATTTTATACTCTCGTAACAACGTAGAAGTTTGGATCTTTGCAAATCAGACTTCAGTAGGTGAAGTTACTTACGGTGTAATCCCGTACATGGCACATAGTTTGAAATGATAATGTGGGAAATTTCAACTGATCAATTATCCTTTTCTGATTGTGTTCATTGGCGACGGGTATTTGTAAAGGCCACCCCCAAATAAGTTATTTGATGCCTAAATGTTATAGCAATTTCGATTTGATTATCAACAAATCCCTCATATCCCCAATTGATTTTTGATTAAACCTTAATTCGTTTACTATATAATTTACCTTTGCCATTTCTTACTAAGACTTTCCTTCTTTGTTCATCATTACGTAAAGACGTAAAATGTAAATCATTCAAATACTGAATTGGCGTGGAAATACTTTGAAATTCGGAAAGTGTAGATACATTGGCCATGAACCGTTTTGTTTTTTTATGACTTCAATAAAATGATGGAAAACTCCAAAATATCCTACGTCACGAAAATTTTTTTCTTTTTTCTTTTTCTCCTTTTTTAAATTTCTAATTTCCCTTTCAGCTACATCTACACGATCCATATCCATAAGAGAATTGCAAATGTTTTTTGTTACAGGGGAAATAATAAAGATATCATCTTTTTCATGAAAGGCATCATCTTGCAAAATCTTAGTTGTCTCATCAATAAAAAAACCTTCGTTTATCCACTTTGATAAGATTAATGAAGATACTGATTATTTAATGCAATTTATATAGAATTAAAATCTTTACTGGACATTCTGTAACATTTTCTAAGTGAATATTTCTACATTGGATTACCATTCCAAACATTTGAGTTCTTGAATCGGAAGTAACTACTATATTATATTAAAGCTTTAAATTTACAGCTATTTTAGAACATTGAGAATTTTCTATTAACAATATATGAAACTAGTCCATTGAATTTATATTCAATTCAATTCCAATAGTGATACGGTATTTTTTTTTTTTTTTTTACAAAAATTTGAATTCTTAATACGTTTAGGTCCTTGGAAAATTGATAAGTTAATGGATTAAAGCCATTTGATAACAGATAATATAAATTAAATTTTAAAGTGGTGTGCCAAATAATTTAATTTACTAGTTGAAGTGAGAGAATTCATTCTGATTCTTTTCCTTGAATATGAACTACGCAATCGATCTCAAGATCTTTTTCTGAATAAATTTAATAAATTTGCTTGATATCTCTAATTTAGGTTGTGAAAAGTATATAAAATATCTTATTATTCAATTTTTTAATAACGTAAAATAAATAATAATAAAATCTAGTAATAATTATTTAATAGACTTAGATTAAAAATCAATTCCATTATCTTTAAGGATCTTAATGGATCGAGGATCATTACTCAGAGCAGCTAATTTTAAATATTTTTTTCCTGATTCGATATCCTTTATACCTAATATCTTTCCATTAAACCACATATCACCTAAATTATATTGGGCTGCAATATTACCACCATTTGCTGCCTTTGTAAGGTATGAAACAAAAACTTTAGGATCAAATTCAATTCCTGGTGTGTTAAATAAAGAAAATGCATAATGTAATTGAGCATCTGCAATTCCATCATCAGCTGCTTCTTTGAAAAGTAGGTTTGCTTGAACAGGATCTTTTTTCCCGTCTGGGAGTCCTTCTGACAAATAATATCCCATCCAATACATAGCAGTTGAATTCTTAAATTTAACATGTTCCTTGAAACATAACCATGCTTTTTGATGATCTTTATTCTTATGAGCTTCAATACCTTCTTCAAGAGGTACTATTGTAGGTAAAATAAAGTTTTGCGATGAATCTGGAGGGTTCGTTGATGATTTTACGATAGACATTGATTTTATCATTTGAGATACACCAAGAAGATTTAATGTTGGTGAAATGCCCATTGGATATTTCGCGGCCAATTTTTGAAGTTTTAAGAAAATTTCCATTAGTGATGCTCGAATATCAATATCTTGTTGCCAAGCTTTAATACAGAATAATAAATAAATTAATAATTTAATCAAATCCAATATATAAAGCATGATAAACATAATAATGGCGAATAATGTAGATTTAATATATTACCATCAATTATAATCTTCAAAAACTTCTTTTGAATTTCTTGAGTTTCTTTTAGTGAATAGGAACACATAGTAATCTTTTCCCGACCACCTTTTAAAACGTGATCTTTTATTTGGTTCATGTCTTTATCCTCATACGGAATTTTTTGAAATAATAATTCCCAAAGTAGCATTCCAAAACTTTTTATTGTAAAAATGAAAAATAAAATAATTGAAAAGGAAAGACAAGTGAATCAAAGAAATAAATAAAAAAATAATAATACCTAAATATTTCACATTTGAAAGTATATCTCACTTTTTTAGGATCTAGCATTTTTTCAGGAGCCATCCAACGTAAAATATCTGTTATCTCTTTTATATCAGTAGTTGCCTGGTTGGTATGACGAGCGTATTTGAAATTTGATAATTTTGGTACAAGTTGTTTAGTCATCTAAACAATGTAAAAATAAACTTATTATATTTATAAAAAATAACAAAAGATATAAAATAATAAAAAACAATAAAAAATAATAAAACAAAAATAAAAAAAATAATAATAATAAAAAATAATAAAAAATAATAAAAAATAAAAAATAATAAAAATAATAAAAAAATAATTTTGCTTACATGATTTAACTTACCATGATATTTGCGCATCTAATATCGTGATGAAGAATTTCACATGTTTGTAAAAAAACTAGACCACGACATATATCAAGAGCCATTTGAACTTTTGAACGCCAACCAATATCATATTTCATATAAACTTCTTGAAGTGAACCAAAATCTGCCCATTCAAAAACCATAACATTTTGATCTTCAACTTTTGAAAGACCATAGAATTTAAGAATATTATTTGATTCTTTTAGTTTCCCTAATATGGCAAGATGCGCTTTAATTTTTTGACCTTCAGCATCAATGATTTTAATTTTGCATGCAACATCTTCCCCGGTATTTAACATTTTTCTTATAACAGTGTTTCCACGTCGATCGTCGGACCTCCCAACATAGGGATTTTTTAACTCTTTTGGATCTATCTCATTTGCCGTTATTGGAGTAGTATTAGGTTTGGTACTCACCAATTTATTTTTGATAATCACAATTTCTGCAAGAACTGTGTTAACATATTGGTTGGAATCAACAACATTCTCACCGATAGTACTCAAAAACTATATATAAAAAAATTTTTATTAAAATAACTATAAACTTTTACTTTAATTCGTTTACAATATAATTTACCTTTCCTATTTCTTCGAGATCTGAACTAAGACTTTCTTGATCAATTCTTCTTTGTTCATCATTACGTAAAGTCGTTGTAAAATGTAAATCATTCATAACGGTTTCAAACTCACTGGTAAGCGATTCAAACTTTTCTTTGACTGAATTGGCGTGAAAATATTTTTGAAATCCAGAAAGTGTGGATATATTGGTTATAAACTGTTTTATGTTTTTCATGACTTCAATAAAACGATGGAAAGCCATAAAATATTCTACATCCCGAAAATTTTTTTCATTTTCATTTTTTCTTCTTTCTAAATTTCTAATTGACAATTCAGCTAAATCTACACGATCCATAAGAGAATTACAAACTTTTTTATTATATTTAGCATTTTCATAAATTGACATTGTTTCTTTAATAATAATGGTTACAGTAGTAAATAAAGGTAGATAAGGTTGAACAGAGTCTCCAACAACTCCAAGACCACCACCTAAAGCACTTTTTACCGATCCTGAAATACTAGCATCTTTTTCATGAACAGCATCGTCTTGCGAAATCGTAGGTGCCACATTATTAAAAAAACCTTCGCTTTTCCATTTGTTTAATGAAGATGCTTGATCATTTGATGCATTTGATAAGGTATCGTTACTGAACATTTCTGTATAAACATATTCTAATCGAATAGTTTCAAGAGAATCATAAATATTTTCTATAGTAGATCGTAAATTTGGTTTGTCGTTCCATGCATTTGAATAGATATTAATGTAATCTACTGGTGTTCCTATAATATGTTTTTCTCTTTTACCTTTAGTAACTACTGTATTTACTATACCATAATATGAAATCCCATTAAATGGAGGTCGACCACTTGATAATTCCCAAAAGAGAAACCCTAGACTATATATATCTGAAGCTTTATTTCTCTTATATGTTTCTGTATTTCGTAAATATTCAGGATCTGTATATGCTGCCACTCCGCCCACAATGGAAAAATTTGATTTAGCATCTAATTGTTTAGATAATCCTAAATCTGAAATCAATAATTTTCCTTCGTGAACTAAAATATTCTTTGAATGCTATTAAAAAAGTTAATTTAGATATATGATTTATATAACTCATAATTCACATAATTATCATATATATAGCTACGCTTACCAAATCTCTGTGAACAATATTTTTTTGATGAATGTGAGATAGACCTCTCGCAATATCTTTAGCCATATTGATTTTTTCATTCCAATCGAGTTTTTCAAAATTATTTCGTAGATAAGTTCGTAAATTACCATCTTCAGCGTATTGTAATACTAGATAATATTTTTCTGTTGAAATATCTAAGTAATATTTTTATTAAAAAATAATTGTTATTGAATAAAGAAAATGAATTTAAGATGTAATTTCTAAATAATAATTTATTTTACCTATGCTGACTCCGTAAAAATCGATAATGTTATCGTGGTGGTTGACTGCATTGATATTTCGTGACTAATAAATTCGAAAAAAAAAATATTTAATTTTATCTAAAAAATATTTAATTTTATCTAAAAATATTTAATTAATGAAAACAATGGTTACTTACCTCATTCATAAATTGTTTAAAAATTTCGTTGTCGTTATCGTTATCGTTGGGATCGCGCAAACATTTTAATGCGACATATTTTTTTAAAGTATTCGAATAAGCCTTCTTTACTTCACCGAATCCTCCCTTTCCAATACCTTTATCGTTTTCAAAAGTATTATAATCAAATGTATTAAATCGATTTTCTATGGCACTTTTAAACGAATCTTTATCTTTATTAATATTGGAAGACATTTCTTAGCATAATGGTTATTTTAAGCATAGGGATAGTTTGTTTTTATTGGCCGGTGATCAACAATCTCGTGATTGACATGATCGACCAAAATTTCGATTTTATTGGCTGGTGATCAAAATCTCGTGATTGGCATGATCGATCAAAAATTTAGATCAAAAATTTAACGCGCGAT